GGCCATGGTGATGCTCCAGCCCTGTCATTGAGCGAGGGAGTTGCTTGTAGTGATAAAGTCAAGAATTACAACACTGAAATGCACCAGCATACCAGCATAAAAATTGCTATGCTGAATAGGACCTTCTCTTTCTGCTGCATAAAGAGAGGAGCCACTGTGAGAGCTTCTGGTGCTGCTACTGAGGGAGAGGCAGTAGCTCATCCTGCATTGCAGCCTGCCCACAGCAGCAACTTCTGAGCTCATATCCACCACTGTGACTGAAACAAGCTGCCCCTGTATGGCAGAAGGGTGCTGTGACTACAGCCAGATGGGCATAGAAGCAGCTAGAAGCATATACTATTAGCTGAAATAATTTGTATTTCAGTTTCAAATACAGTAAAGATTTTTCTGTGTGGATTGTGGTACTGTCTGCTGGCTCAAGTGGAAAAGTGGTATAAAGTATATCTAAGTAGTCATCTCTCACCCCTTTGCTAAGAAAATGGTATCACAGAGATGTTTGTACCTGCCATGCTGCTTTGCATGTTTGTGTCAGTGCCATTGCTGAGAGGGACTAACACAAAATGTGCAGGCCAGTACATTGCTAAATGTAATTTACCTAGTCCAAATGTGGAATATTAGCTGGTGCTCCAAGGCTGGTTTATTTATAACCTTTGTTCTGTGGGTTATGGAAATTGTATTAAAGCAAGGCCTGGGGGAAATTATGAGCTCAGCTGGTTTAGAGAGGATAAATAATTAATTGGTCATTATCACTGCACCTGGGATCCTTTTTCCAGTCATCCTGATGCTTTCCTTTGAAGAAAATGTTTTCCTGGAGCAGAGACTACCCAAGTTAAGAGATCCCTTATTATGGGGCCTTAAAACATCACTGTGAAGTACATAGCTGGACTAATACAAAAAGTCCCACATTGTGCTAAACACTGATGTTTTCACGTCCATAAAACAGTCATGTCTGAGATGAAAGAAACACTGACTAAAACAAAAATAAGACTACCAGAGGGAGAAAGCCCAGCTCATTGTTGTCAGTCTCAGGTGGTCGCTTCCCCAGGGTGAGGCACAGAGAGTGACTGGAGAGCTCATTGCTGGCAGGACACTTGCAGGACTGACCCAAGGAGAGCACAGCTGACCACAAACAACAGCTGCCTCAGAACTTGTTTCCAATCTTTAGGAGGTGTTTGTGTTCCTGGAAGCTTGCAGGCATCCCAAAGCACAGCTCAGGCCTGGATGTAGATGTGTTACAGGAATTGATTAATATTCTACTGAAAAAGCTGGATCTTGCAGCACCTTTCCATAAAGGAAGGGTCTGGTTCTCCCTGATTTTGCACTCTGGCCAATGCCATCTGCATGTTGTACTGTTCTTTGGGAATTAAAAGATTGTTAATAACTGCTAAAAATAGTGATACATGGAAGCAGAAGGAGAATGTAAAGGTCCTAACTTTCAAATGAAAATATTGCTAGAACTGCATTAAGGTTGAATGCACTGAATTATTATTAGCTGAAGGAAAAACTGATTCATTTCCTGGCCACTCTTTATTCCCCCTATTTCTGGGAGGAGTTTTTGTCAGAGCTCAGGACCCTGTTCTGGCTTTTTGTCACAGCTCTCTCTTTATCACTTGAGCTGCCTTCTGCACTGTCCACACACCATTCAGAAACCTAGAGAGCTTTCAGGAGGTAGCAGTGCTTGTGCCTCACCATCCTTGAGCCAATGGATATAACCTTTTCAGGTTGATAAAACTTTGGGTTTGCTTGGGTTACTTGACATCTTTACAATTTTCCATGTAGTAGCAGACCTTGAGGTCAGTGAATGTAAACCCCTCCATTAAGAAATCCTTACTGTACTGTTTACTAGGGCAAAAGCGTCCCCATTCAGAGTTGCCAGCACATGTGGCAAGTGTCACAGCTGCCACCAAATCTGCAGACTGCTTGCTGCTGAAAATCTGGATTTGCTCTCCCAAATAGGATCCCTTCTGCTAGTGCTCAGCATTATGGATGCTGTTCCCAAGGGACTGATGGAGCACAAGGGGTGACAACAGGGTGGCAACTGCCTGCAGAACTCGAGAGTGTTTCCTCATGTGTCAGGGGGATCAGGAGTTCATGGTGTATCCATTTGTACAAAGAGCTCCCCTTGGTGTAAACCTTTTGTTTGCATCTTGTGTCCTGTGGTATCCTGCTATTCCTCCAGTAGCACCTGCCCTTTTCCCAGCAAGATCAGCAGGAACAGAAAGCCTTCCCCACCCTCTGGTGACCATCCAGCCACCTTCTCTCTCAGAGATGACAGAAGCCTGAGATGTTCTCTCACACAGCATCCATCCCCCCTCTCCATGACCTGGGGTTCAAAGACATTTTGCAGCCACTGAGCAGGGCTGAAAATGCCTCACATCCCACATCATTCCCACAGAGAACACACAGCTGTGAACACACCACCTTGCCCACACACCCAGAAGTGTGTGGCTACTTCCTGTACCTTATTTCCTGTACACCACACCGTGCTCATCCCAAACACACCTGAAACACGAATACATCCACCTTTTCTGCCACACCACCCACCACAGAGTGAAAATGAACACAGGGTGGGAAAAATGCATGGAGTAATACACAGTCATGGACTTCAGGTGATTACAGAAAAGCTTGCAAGTGTAAAAGGAGGGAAAAATGAACCTGTAGTTCTCACAAAAGTCTACAGCCACTAAAGTGCTTCATCTATGAAGTGCAAAAGATGCTGAGAAAGCACTGTGTTACGGGAAACCCTGAAAGAAGGAAGGTACACACAGCCATATTTCAGCGGTAAAGAACCTTGAAATCCCCCTCTTTCCCTTTGCAACTGGAGGTGAAAATTAGAGTCTGAAAAAGCAGGACCCTTCTGACTAGGACTGGATTGTGCTGGGATGAAAAGAGGGAGGTGAAGCTGCTGTATTTTCAATTTGTGGCATGCAGATGGAGGTAGTAGCATGGTGGAACAAGGTGTGGGAGGGGAGTGAGGACAGATGAGTGAGGAGACTGCAGGACACAGATGAACCTGGCAGAATTGCCTGGGAAGCCCAGCACTGAAGTAACATATTGATTTCCAAGGCAGGAGTGAAAAAGACATAAACTAATGCCAAAGGCATTACAGAAAAAGCTCATCCAGATTAGGTGTGAGGTTTCTCCAACAGGCATTCAGGCTGCAGGTACAGGACATCCTAAATGCTTTTACCTGGTGTCACACAGAAAACTCTTGGCAGGGCAAGGGAGGGAACAGCTCACACAGGGAGGACCCTTCTTTTTCTTTAGAGATGTTCTGAGCCCAAGAGCAAAATGAACATATAATTGAAGACATGGTATCATTATGCAGATATGCTGGAAATCTAGCAAAGTATTTAGGAAAGAAAAAGTAGACAACAATGGGTAAAACAAACCTTTTAGAATGAGAGCCAAGAAAAGGCAGAAGTGAAGCTGCAATTCACCATGTAAAAATGTATATAATAATGATGGAGAAGGTGGTGATACAGATTAGAATCTGAGATAAGTATTGCTCCACTTTCCAGTGGTTGTTCAGATGTAATATTGGAATATTGGAATATTTCAGATCTCGCTCACTCAGTGCATTTTTTCTAAGGACGACACAGCAGAAAATGAGCAGTGACAGGTCTGATCATATTTCATTAGTTTGCATGCTATTACTTCACACTTACATACTAAGTTCCATATGCCAGTCTCAGTTCTTTCAGAAATTACCTATTCGGACTCTCAGTGGCCCCATGGGGAAGCTCTCACTGTCTCCAGCCTGCTGCTGGGGAAATGGAGGTGCAGACATGGCTTGCCTCAAGGCCATGCAATGAAACAGAGTCAGAAAAAAAAGCCTTTGTCTCCCTGATCTCTAGAACTTCTAATAACAAGCTTCTGCTCTTTACATGGCACAATTTGAAATGTGGATTCTGTACATTCATAGATCTTTCATTAATGAAAGAACCCTCTCATTAGCTCTAGGAACACAGTGTTGTAACATTTTGATGTTCTGCCATTTGTGGACTGGAAAAGCTCTGATTTCTTTGCCAGAAGCAGCAACAATAAGGTAGTTCCTTCTCTTGACACACTGCCAAGGAAACACTGCTGAATTGTCTTTGAGCAACAGCTCTCTGCAAAGCTCATTGATACATTTATCTGTGCCTTCTTTCTCTGGAACAAAATAGAAATCACAGTGCAGTCCTGGGAAAAAAAAAAAAAAAAGCTCATTTTCTTCTTGTAATTTGAATTTTGTTGGATTTTTGGCAACTTTAAAGTATTTAGTATCTGGTCTTCCATTTTACTATGAACATGTTTCATAAACTTTGCAAATGTTGACTGTTCCGGAAGGCAGAATGAAGTGGGTATTTGGGCCAGTTTCTGAGCTCTTGAAAAATCACAGAGCTGCTCAGGCTGGTCCATATTTCAGTATCCTTTTTATTGTAATATTCTCATATTTTTCCAGAAAGCAGAAAACACACACAAGTAGGGCCTCCCATGCAGAAGGAACTCTAATTTGGCATGGTGCACTAACACTTCTCTTGACTTGGGTGTTGTAGGCCAGTTCCTCCCATAGCTTAGACATTTTCTCTGCTTTCTGCAGCTGGTGTTACATTGTCCAAACTACAAAATTACAAAATCTCCTCTGCAAAGAATTCTGGGTCAGAGCCTGCTCCCCAGGGAGGATCTGAACATGCTACCTGCTCTAGCAGCATGTGCTTGAACAAAATAATAAAGAAACAATTCTAAAAGGAAAGTAAGCCATGCTGGCAATTCAGAGTGAAGTAGCAACAAGAACACCACTCAGTGATTTAAAATCTAAGCTTTGCTTACTGAGGGAGATTATTTAGTGGGTGGCTGGCAATTTCTAGCTGTGAAACACAAACCCACACATACAAATAATCCAACTGAAAACTCTATTTGTGTCTGTGAGGGGTACCAGGGGCAACAAGTCTGTATTGAGCAGGGTTTCTGCAGCAAGGCTGCCAGGCTGCCATGTGCAGGAGCTGCCTCACAGCTACTTGCAGCCAACTTTGATATGGATGTGAACAGCCCAGGATGCTTCAGAAACCTCAGCCTGTCAAAACCAGTCAGAAGATCCCCAACAGAAAATATGACACCCCTGCTCAAGCAGATTTAAGGAAGAGCAACACCCAGAGCAGGGACTGCGAGGGACTGAGGGACTGTGATTTGTGGAAAACCCACATCAGAGTGGAAGAAAATGAGCCAAATGCATGGATTGGCAGAGAGAAACCACTGCATTCCAGCCTCAGCCTCCTGCATTGCCCACCACATCCTTGAAGGGGCAGGGAAAGATTGAGTGTAATGCATGGGAAAAACAAGGTAAGTTGGGACCAAGGTCTCAGGCTTCTTGGGAGTGGTATTGAACTGAAATCGACTTGGGAGGAAAAGGGGGGGAAAAGTGTTTACCTAAATATTTGTTTAATTGTTTCATTTTTCTTTTTTTTTTTTTTTTCCTCAAAGGCTGAGTCAGTAATCAAAAATTTGCTCTAGCTGGTGATAAATTAAATTAAATTCTCCAAGTCAAGACTGCTTTTGCCATGACAAGTGCCCTTACTCCACCTGGTAAAACTGTCCAAGAGCAACCTGTTGGTACAGCTTGTACATGTACCAGTTCCAACTCAAGTTTAACCTTCTGTGTGATGGGGTTCATGTCCTCAGCAACAATTGTTTTAGTGCCTAATGGAGGTGGCCAGAAAGTCACCAAATTCATCATTTTCAGGTCAGGCAAGGCTGCTTTAGATTTCTCCACATGTTAATTAATGGTCACTTCTGATATCACTAATATGTTACAGTGATGTTTACCAGTTCCTCTGTGTTTCTTTTTGATCTGCACCTGAATTATTGGGAAAGCAAGGCTGTAGTTCAGAGCCTTGGGTGAGCTTTCCCCCCACAGCTGTTTCTGCTTTCCTTGTTTTCCCTAAGACTTACCAGATTCAGAACTCATTTTGTCTGAGTGATAGTTCTGGGCAAGTTGCATCACATGACAAGCCTAACTTCCATTTCCAAAGGATCTCAAAGCAATCTACAGAGATTGATACTAAAATGATCCTCCTGGTAATGGAAAGGCAGCTGTTCTTCAAGCTGTAGAAAACAATCACAGACCAGCTACCTACAGGGTAGAAAAAGCATTAAAACCTCAGGGCTCTGAAGCAGAAGAAGGGGAATCCTGTCTGCTGGAACTGGATCAATACTTGCAGAAAACCTGAAGATAATTCATTCATGAGCATAGTTTGAAAGTAATATTCTGTTTCCAAATGGCATGATTTTGATTGGAAAAAATGAAAGAGCCATGCATAATGTGGGAGTTTTGAAAGCAGTAAAAATTAAAGACTAATTTACATAAGGAAATAGCAGGAAAAAATATATAGGGTGGCTACAATTTGGTGATTGTGTGTTTTCTGTGGATTTTTGTATTGCCTCTTAAAAAGTACAGAAAAAGAGATGGGCTGAACTAGTCTAACTTAGTGTGAGACAGAAAACCCCCGGTTATTCTGGTTTTCCACTTTCAATAACTACCATAAGCTTTTTCTATTAAGAACTCATGCCTTAGTCAAAGGATTCAAATAACCACTGCTTATGTAAGATATTTATTTGTCTGCCTGGTGGGGTGTAGGAGCTGTGAATCTCCAAAGTGTGGAACAGAGATTAAAACGTCATCAGATGGGACAAATTCAGTAATACTAGTGCAGGACCCAAGACCACAACATTAAGTAGGATTCACTGCTATGAAATTTACACAAAAGCTTGTCAATCCTGTCAATTCTATGAAAGTATTTACAGTGGAAAGGAGAATAACCATATCCTTCCAGCTGGATTACAATGCCAAAGGAACTAATACATTTCTCTGGAGCAAGAAATACCAAGAGCCTTTAAAGGTTAGGAAAGAGCATCAAAGGAGCCTTAAGAATTTACACTAGAAAAAAAAAATATTAGCTGCTTGTTTCTGCTTTCACTGGCATTACAGAAAAGCTTCAGGTTGGGTTTTATCAGAGCATGCTCTGCATCTAAAATCTGAGACAAGATTCTGCTCTAGGCTACATTCCTGGCACTGAGATTGGAGGAGCTGCACAGTAACATCTTGCCTAGTCAGTAAGCACCAGCTTAAAATCTCTCTCCTTCTCTGGCATCAAAACAAGTAATTTGATAAAATCAGGTTTCCTTCAAGAATTTTTTTTTTCCTGGAGAATGTAACACTAATCAAATGCACTTCATCAAAATACTTGGGAACTTGAAAGAAAAAACAAACAACAAACAGAACAACAAAATTAATTAGCAGTCTGACTCACTCACATGCTTTATTTGATGTCAACTGACAAGACTTTGGTCCAGAAGTAATGAAAAAAAAAATTAAAGGAATTTACATTAATTGAAAATATCAAAATGTACGTCTGCAGAAACATTACATTTAATTGGAAGTTTATTTCAAACATATTACTTGCTGCTAGTTAATTACTGTTGCAAAGCATATTTTAAAGGTTCAAAGTGCATAGAACTGCCAGATCTGGCAGCATCTGCTCCTGTAGGAAGTTGATAATACAGGATTTTTTTACACACATGATATTTTCTTCTGCTTTCCTTAGCTATTCTTAGAAGTTCTCAGCAGAAAATCAGCTGAAAGTTCCACCCCAAACCTCAATAGTGGAATTAATGAATATTTCACCCCTCTAATACCCAAAATACAAAATGTTGACAATACAAAGGAAGTCAGATCACAGTAAAAAATTCCCTTCTTCCTCTGTGATTAATATTACTAAACAAAATAGACTAGAGATACAAAATATTTTAAAAGTGCTAATTATCTAAACTTGTTTTTTCTGCAGGCTTTTTTTCCCAACACTGTGTACACAGCAGAATTGCTTTCAAGTTGTATAAAATACCATAAGGAAAAGGTTAGCCATTTAACACCCTGAAGGCAGCATAGAACAGAAAGCTAACAGGGTTTTCACCAGGACAAAAAGCAAGGCATATATATTTAATATTATACTTCTGTTTTTCTGATTAGCAGCTCAGCAGTGTAGAGTGCCTTTAAAAGAAAGCTGTGCTGTAATTTTTTTTTTTCTTAAAATGTGTACACACTGGTTTCATTCCATAGCCCAAATAATTTCCCACATCTCCAGTGATGTCAGTATAGTTTGTAAATCTAATAGTTGATTATCGAAAAGTCACAAACTTGCAGAAGTAACACAATCCTATTTCTTTCATGCCTCAGACTCTATAGAGAGAATGGGACAAAAATTCCATGTGCAGAGAAAAGACTTGTATATTCATGAGGAGCTATCATACATATTAAACAGGAGACTGCTCCTCAGAGGCTGAAACAACACCCCAGGTGAGAGGAATTTAAAAGCCAAGGATCCTGCCTGGTTTGCTTTTCATTCTGCTAGGAAGAAATACAGAAAACAACAGAATTTACTGAAGTATTTGGAGCACCACTCCTGTTTTTCTTACATGCTCTGTTGGGTTTTGTAATTCAAAGTTAATGGCTCTTATATAAAACTAAAGAACACAAACAAGTAACTTTTCAAATTGCTTCTGAACAGGTAACAATTTTAAAATAACTAAGGTATGATGAGAATTAAACATTCTTTAAGATGCCTATGAAGAATGCAGGAAAATAATAAGCTACTATTGCATAACATTAATTAACCTTACATTTTTTAATACCAGAGGAGTAATAAGATGGCTTTTTCAGAAAAATTCTTTAGGCAACAACTATTTTGTCATCTCAGATGTCCTGGGTGTTACATTAGTATCTCAATGTTATTGGTAAAAAACATCTTTATTTCTGTAACAAACATACTTCTTCCAGCTAATTTTAATAAAATATTTTGTGACTGCTTAGGGCAATAAACCTGAAAACATAATCACCAGTATTTTAAGAGATACTGTCGTAAAATACCACCAGATTGTCCCTAAAAAGTCATCACAGTCATCCTGTCATGTAGTCAAGGTGTTGTTGCACAGCACAGGACATTTTTGATTGTGGCCTACTTGTCACAAAAATTGGAACTATATTTATCTGTCTGCTGAATCCCATGGGAAGAAGTGCTGGATGAGGAGTCTGGCAGGAATTCTTTAGACTTGTTATTTAGGGAGAGACCTGTTCTGGAGGAAACTCTGAACAGGGGGCAAACAGACCACTCAGGGATAGTGCAGGGCACTTGAACCATGGCCAAGATGAGTCTTAGGACAAAGGGACTGGAAGATTAAGAGCTGCAATCATTTGGCTACAGAAAAAAGTAAATTTGTCACTTCTTAATCCCTTGGGGTAGGAAACTCTTCAGTGACTGTGGCTGTACTTCTGCTGCAGTGTTATTGCAAAGTATTTCACCCCCTGCTCTCCTGACTCTGTTCCTGCCACCAGCTTCCTTCTGCTTTTTACAAATCAACAAATGGACTAAGCAATAATACTGGGCAGGAAACAGAAAAAGTGACTAGGGAAGGAATTGTTAGAAGCAATTCATGTTTATTTTCAGCTCAAAAGGGTAGCATGTTCACTCCTTCACAGCTATTTACACAGCAATGTAACACCAGAAGCCGTGCTCCAGTTTTCTCCAGGTACAAATATAAACCACAGAAGAATTTAGGTTAGAAAGGTACTGTGGACATCATCTGATCATTTGCAAAAATAGGCCAGCTTCAAACTTCAGGCTAGCTTTCAGCTTTGGTGCATGTCACCAATGTCACAAAAGAGGGAAATAAACTCAGAACTTGCATGAGCTCACAGATTACAAACTCACCTCTCCCTAGGATTTCAAAACAGCAGTGACAGTGTTCAAGTACCTCTGAAAATGACTGAGCAACTCAGAGGAATCTCTCCCCCCCCTTCGTTTTGAAGACTGTCTGTCACTAGGGGAGGGCTATGAATGTGAACATCACCAGAGTGATCGTGAATGAAGCCAGGAGCAGCACTCAGACCTCCTGTGGCAGCTGCATTCATTCCTTGCAGTGTGGCAGCTGGCACAGGAGCAAGGAGCACAGCTCCTCTCAGAGAAATTTCACAGAAATCAGGCCTTAGCAGAGCTCTCCAAAGACAAGGTCCACAGAGGTCACTGAGCAGATTTCTTACAGATCCATGGGGCAGGGACTTGACAGCTGGAAGCACGGATGGCACCATTCAGCAGAACAGTACAGTTCTGTACAGGGCTGGTGGACTCGACCCTGTGAGAGACAGAGCACACAAGCAGGGCAATACTACAGAGGGATCCCCACTTTGGCAGGGGGAAGAACATCTCACAGCTTTGCAGGGAAGAGACCTGCTGCAGTTAGACTCAGTGAGCTGATCAGGGAGGATCCATCCTGAGACACAGGAGGTCTGGCAGTGAGACTTGTGATGCCTGGAGCTCAATGTGAGGCTTGCAGTTTGCCAGTCTCACACTGGGCTCTCCATTTCCCACCACTAAAGAGCAAAATGTTCTGTCCCACGAGGGACTTTTTGCTGTTCTACTAAAGGCATTTGAGACAGAAAGTATAAAGTATTCCAGTTAAAGTATGCAATTAAAATCATCTGTATGAGTGTGTGAGAGGTGGAAGCCTCTGCTTCATTAAGGTTATCTAATCAAGGTCTCATTCAGGACAAAAGAGCATAATGAGGACAGAATTATGAAACAGAAATCCACAGACACAAACATTCAAGAAATAACAGACAAAACTGCAAAGACCAAAAAGTCTTCAGCTACTAGTTGATGGGCCATCAAAAACCTCCAGGCACAGCATTGGACAGGAGCACCTTGGGCTTTGGAACAGATAAGAAATGTGGGGTGAAAGTAGAGCAGGAAGATTTGAGTACATTCAAGGTGGGCCTTCATGCCTGTGCAAAACTTGCTGAGGAACTTTTAGGGGATGAGGAGGAAAGAGAGAGGAGGAGGGGAAGCAAGGGATGGGTCTGAGCCTTGGGAGCAGCTGATGATTGCAAGCACAATCACTGTATCACAGTCCTTTGCTTGCATGTGTACTGTCTCTGGTGGGACCTACAGACACCAATGTAGCAGCTGTGTCCATTAGTCAAGTCATGGGTTTTGAAGGGTAAAGAAGAAACAGTGTGTGAGAGAGGAAAATTTGGGGCCATTTCTGAATGTGAACACCAACTCCCTTCCTTCCTACAGGGACCTGCTTTTTGAGATTCGGCATTTCAGAGTCAGCTTCCCCAGCTGTGGGTTCTGAGGGCTGAACTCATTACAAAAAAGACTCAGCTGAGGCAGGCAGAAAGAAGCAAGTCCCTCTTGCAGAGTGCCTAAGGGAAAGCCTTGTCTTTGCCAATGCAAGGAGGTGGTGGGTGGGTCCTAGAAGCCTTTTACGCTCTCCCTTCCTCCCAGAGGGAAAGAACTGCCATAACAGTGCCTGGGATTTGCTCCCACTCCATCCTGCCCTTGCCCCTACAAAGGCACCCACCATTTCACTGGTATTACTGATCACCAGGAGATAAGCTCCCTGTGCCCAGCAAGATTCCTGGCTGGAATTCCAGTCCTTCTTCTCCTTGGAGAAGGAGTAACACCTGCCTCTGAAGATCACCCACTGCTCAGGGCAGCAGGGACATGGGCAGCCTGAAAAAGAATCATACACGTCTCTTCCCACTCATAGTCATGCCTAGTTCCTTACAAGTACATTTCACAAATGCGTTCTTTCAGAAAATGATTCTCCCCAGTTACAGTAATGCCAGCCCTGGAGCTTTTCTGAGACTGGTAAAGGATCACAGCCTCTGAAGGAATCTGTGAAGGGCATCCATTTTCCAGATGGAGATAGGTGTGAGAGTAAGTCTTCTCTTAAAGAGAAAAGGTCCATGCTCTTCTTGGACCAATGAGCAGAGCTCTGCTGTGCTCCCTGACAAAGTTCTACATTCAAATGAAGTATTTTCAGTGAAGGAGATTTATTTACCCTTGATAATAAAACTATTATTATAAAACCTTGATAATAAAACCATTATTATTATTATTATTACACCCTTGATAATAAAACCATTATTTACCCTTGATAATAAAGCCATAAAAATATTATTCCCAGCAATGTCAAGAAGAGGATGCCTAGAATCACTGCAGTAATCCAGCAGGTACTAGATGAAACAAAAGAACCTAAAAAAAGAAAAAGAACATAAATGTGAGAAAGGTGAAGTTTGCTTAACGGGACCAGCTTTAAAAATACAATTCACATCAAACTGCAATGTCAGTTTATCTCAAGCCTGCACTCATGTCAGAGTCCAAGAACGTCTGAAAGAGTTTATTTCGATATTCCACACATTGATAATTTAACCTTTAATAGCAAATTCACTTATTTGAAAATGTGATATTTCATGAGATTCTGATTTATCAGAATCAACCACAGCTATGTGTTGGAAGCACAATACAAGAGTAAACTAACAGAATGTAGCAATTTCAATAAAGACATGAAGCACAATATAAATGTGATTGTCACTGGCAGAATTTATGAATGCTCACCATTACAGCGCTGGCTAGCACCAGGAAGAAATAAGTATCAGGAGATATATATATATATATATATACACTGTTCCATGCTGGTTTTGTTAACTTAGAAGGACATTCACACTCTTTTGATTAACTCATGAACAAAAATTTACACAGCCAGCTGATATAATCAGTGATCCACCCAACTGACACCAATGTTAATAAAAAAAAATCAGTCACTGCATAATTCATCAATACATTGCACTTTCCTTTGAGAGTCCCTCCCTTGAGATTAAGCCCATTATAGGGGCTTATTGATCAGTCACAACTCAGCTTTGCATCTGAAGGGAAATCTAAATACCATGAGTGTTTTGATACAGCACCAACAGAAGTTCCTAGATCACTCTGTTGGAGCTGTAAGTCTTCAAATTTAACCTACATTAAACTGCCCATCCTTCCCAATCTCAAACAGCAGGACAGAAAGAAAAAAATTTAGCATACAAATGCAAATCTCTAATTCAGACACGAAATCTGCTAGACTGCTTATTTACTAATGCATGCATCTTTTCCATTATTAACAGACATTACCTTTGTTCTTGATGTCCTTGTTCCTCTCTGTTCTTTGTCTTTTCTGTTTCTTGGCAGTTCTGTGTTTCACATCCAGAGAGAAGTGTTCCTTTTTATACCCGTCAGATGCTTTTAAGTGTTGCTTTTTAAAATGTTGCTTTACTTGGAATTTAGAAGTCCCATCTGCCACAAAGCCTGGATGTGGATCTGGATTTCCCTGAGGGGCAGATGAGCTTTCCTCTCAGCACTTTGGAATGATTTCTAATGACAGAGCATATTATTAGCAGAAAAGTAATATACATAAGGAATGATGTCATACATCAGCTTTTTGGAATACAAAATGGTTTAAGCAATGACAATAGTTCACAAAGAGGTCGATCTTTTGTGATTAAATTGCTGCTCTGATGGATGCTCCATAAATCATTGTTAGACAGAGAAGCTTGCTTTGACTGGGGGAGCAAAGGTACCTAGCATTCTTCACGTCATATGAATAAGCAATTTAGGCTTGACCAAGATGAAAAAGGTGAGGAATGAAATTTCCTCAAATAGCAAACAGATAATTCAGTGGGATAATTTACAGATTGCATTTCTCTTTCACTGCAAGCACTGTCAATGAAAGCAGTGCAGGTGCATTTGATCTGTATCAACATCTTTAATTATACCTATTTATTTATTCATATTAACAACACAGCAAAACACAAGAGTTTGAGAATTGGGACAAGAAAATTTAGTGGGGGAGGGGGGTGTGTGGTTACCTTAACTCTCCAGGAGGAAGCTGAAATGTAACAGTAGAACAGGTGGTGCCTGTGTCCTATTCTCCATATGTGACTCTGCAGGGTGGCAAAGCAACTATTACCATCTGACTGAAACAGGGCAACTGAGATGAGAAATAATTATTGTGGTGACCCACACACAAAACTTGAATTCTTCCACTCCAGAACAAACCTCTATCATTTCAGACCTCCAGTTCCTGCCATAGTTGCACCAAACTCTGAGCTACTTCTAATGTCACATTCATGGAGCAAGAGAATATATTGGGATGGTTCAATCTGTGGATTCCATTATTAAATCATATGCTTGTATTGCCAGCCCTTTTCCACAACAACAGTTTCACTGTCCAACAGTATCAGCCTTTCCACCTCAACTCTTTGATTTGTGTAGGAAAAAGTTGCTCATTTTTGCTTAAGGCTAGGTCAGGACTTCAGACAGAAAAGAGAAACCACAGTACCTTCAGAACAGGAGACTTCACAAATCATTAATTTTGTTACTTCTGAGAATTATTAAAATCTGAAAATATAATTAGATTAAAATTTGTGTGATTATTTTCACTTTATAGACTACTAGGAACATATATGTTTAATTTTCAAATATATAAATATTTTCTATGTCTTTTCTTAATTTTCCTTTATCTTTTCTTTCTTCTTATACTCCATTTATTTTTAAGAACACAGAGAAGAACTGGTCAGGGACATAAAAGTTGGCAGTAATCATGAGATGCTTTTGTTCCTGAAAAGAAGGGGAAAATACAAAACCAAAATCACAATCAAGCCTGGACTTTAAGAGAACAGACTTTATTGTGTTCAGGAGTCTGTGTTCACAGGAGAAATCCAGTGTCACAGAGTCCTGTAGAGAAGAGAGGCTCAGGATGGGGCTGGTTTTCAAGGATCAGCTCCACTGAACTCAACAATGGTCTGTCCCAAAAAAAGCAGGATACAAAACAAAGGTGGCAGCAAACATCTTCAAGAAGACAGGGAACTACAGAACAGTCAGCCTGACATAAGGAACTGACATTATAAAATAAATCTTTACAATAAACCTTTGGCTACTGAAAGGGACTCCTTGGGCTTGGACAAATTGCTCTGCCTTGTGCTGTGTGGCCTGATAAGGTCTAAAGGAGATTTTTCAGACTCCATATCCAGAGATTTCCTCCTCCTCCCTCATTCCATTTTTTGTGGTGTGTGGTTTAAGGGGCTAGCAGGTCCATGCCACCTTCAGGAACAGTCCTGTAGGAATGAGCTGCAGGATGCTGTTGACCCATTTTCATAGAATAATTCTGTGGCTTTTGATATTTCAAACTCATCCAGACAGGGTAGTGATTCAGGGAGCAAAACAAGCTAGTACAGTTATTCCTAGAATCAATTGTGCACACAGCAGAAATCACACAAAGGGTGAACACTGACTGAACAAAGAACTTTAGCCCTGTTTTACAAGTTTGTGGCTCCTTGTGGGCAGATTTTTAACATAAACATCAGACTTGTCCCACTTTCCAGCAAGCTGGATCTAAACTCTGCCCCTACATCCCTGATTTCTTCACTGTGCTGCTGCAGCTGTCTGCATATTCTATTAAAAAAATTAAATAGAGAATGCAGGATTTTATTAAATAACATCAATAAAATCAATAATTCAGTGTAAGAGATTAAGTAATTACATTCATTAAACCTAACTCATCAAACTAAATGCTCTCCTCCAGTTTGAGAATCTGGAGGACATTTGTTCCAAAAATGCACATTAAAACAAAAACAAAACAAAAACAAAACAAAAAAAAAAAACCACCAAACTTAACTTTGATCACAGACAGTTCAACTTATATCTAGCTCCTCTATTTTTTTTTTCCCCTCACAAATGGTAAACCACAGTAAATCCACACTTTGAAAAGATAACACTAGCTCGCAGGAAATGCTTTTTCTGAAGACATTAATTTAAACCAGGCAGGAAACATCAGCCTGGATTGAAGACAGGCTGAGGTCAAGAGTTGAGAGCTGCAGCTCAGCTGTGGACATGCTATTGGTGTAATGAAAAAGTAAAAACTGACCATGACCAGGCTCTGGCATAAATATTTAATTGCTCTCATTCTTGTTGCAATGATTCTGGCAGAAAGTTAAGAAAGATTTCTCCAGTGGCAACAGCTCTGCTATAGCCTATCTACATCAAAATATCCTCTTCTTACCCACCCAAGCCTCATCCTTCACCTCCATGTACTGAATTTTGAAGAACTAATCATAGGAAGCTGATCAAATAAAAAATAAAATATTTCTGCAATATGGGAATTGAGCACATCCACTTCATTACAGTCACCCAATCACGGTGCATTTAAATGCAAAAGAGCATAATAAGCTACAGAGACACAAACCTGGTGCACATAAAATAACAGAGGGCGCATTTTCCACATAAGATCAGAAGATAGATGTGAAATTCTGTGCTGTTTTATTTCTGAAACTATTGTCCATGAGAAGGGGAGCAAAATTAAATGAAAAATCAAGACAGGCAATTTGTCTTTTATCCTTTCATAATTTAGCTTGGGTTTAACATCAGCATGAAGAACAATTCCTCTCAGTAATCCTCGTGGATCCCTTCCAACTCAGGGCATTCTATAACTCTGTGATTCTATGAACTAAAATGTCCCTTGCAGAAGTGGGGGCTGTTTATAAAACAAGGCAAGAGGAAAACCCCACTTCACTGCCTCCTTTTATCATAGACAGAAAGACCTGCTAAACCATCCAAAAATAAGAGAGTAACATGAAACTTATGTGAAAAAAAGCCTTTAATGTGTCTTGGACAGTTGGGGGGATGTTGGAGGTTTATTGCTATTTGTTGATGGTGCAGCACCTGCTATAAATAAAATTACAAGCTGTAGGAGGTAGAACATAAACCAATGCACTCTCACATTCTCATGACCAAACCAAAGCCCTCACCAAAAATGCAATTCTGTGAATGCAAAAAAGCAAGAGTACTGCAGTACTTCTCTTCTATGTGGCTGAACCAGAGTCCTTTGCAACATGCCCACTGTAGCACAAAGAAGATTTTGCAGTACAAAGCCTTAAAAAGTTCATGTTGCTCATATGTGGTTTCAGAAAATTCCAAACATGGTGAAGCCAAATCATACCAGAATTTAATATCTGTGCCTCCTGTCTGTTGTCACTTTTTGGACCACTTTTTTCACTCCTCCTGGTCTGGACAGGATTTCCTCATCCTTAGGAGATCTATTGGATCTAATTCAGTCTCTCACTGAAAATGTGCTCAGATGCCTGAAGAAGACAGGCAGAAGAGATAAGCCTTTATGTGCACTGAAAGATAAGCTACATTTAAGAAGAATAGAGGAACAATCCACCAGAAACTAAATAAATTATGCAGATGGTTCTGTCATCTTTGAGAAAATTAAATATAATAATTAAAAGGCAACATTTTTTATGGGAACAAAATATTCTAATTAAACAACTAAAACAAAGTCTATCATTAAAAGCTGAAAAGCCATGATTCTCCACAAAACAACTGAAAAATTTCCACCAAGTCCTCAGTGGGTTCACTAAGGAGAAATGGATGCATGAGTCTACATTGTTCCTAAAATGGAGACTGCTATGTGGAAAAGATTTCTGTATAGGCTACTCAAAAAAGCAGGGAGAGCAGTTAAACTACAGTAATTCCACATGTACAATTACATTTTGCCAGTATAAAATTTATTCTAATTTCAATTCAGTTACTTTCAAACCAACATAAATGAACCAGGGGAAGACAAATCAGAGTAAGAATGCTTACATTCTTAGAATGAATAATGCCACTTTATTGAAAGGAAATTAAATTACATCTTCTCATACAGCAGGAAAATATCTTTCTGTAGGCTAATTCATTAGCAGGGTCTTGTCACAGATTTGCTCACAGGGGAAACCAAAATAGATCTTGTGTTAGAGGCTGTGAGGTGCTCAGCATCTGAATTCCCATGGATTTCCTTTATCAGAGCTTTCACAACAGAAATAAAATATGAGGATTTGTGTAAGGCAGAGCATTGCTTTCTGTCCCCTGAGAACAGTGCTGCATTTGTTACCTTTAGCTCTCAGTTTAACAAGGCTCCCTGTGCATTATTTGTCAGATCTGCAGCAGCACTGGGCATGCTTTCACAGCTCTGGGATTGTATTACCTGCCACACACCCAACTTTCACAGGCAAGACCTTTCTGAATATCCACTCTTCAGTGGGAGGTTTGAACCAATCAAATGTTTTTTTAAATGAATAGTTTATTCACCAAAGATAACTGTGAATTTGACCTAATTTACCAGGTAGCTTTGAAACCATTTTCAAGCGATGGCAAGAGAAGAGGATGTTATTATTTTACCATTTGGAAAAGAAGGTATCTCAATTCTCCAGGTCAGATTTACACCAACTGGTTTATGAAGACCCAGGTGGCAATTAGCCAACACCATGGGAAAAGTCAGAAAGCTGACTGCTTCCTCTTGAATGGACTTTGCAATTTCCCAGTGTATAGTGGTGACTCATGTACTGTATGAACTCATATTACATTTGTTTATGGAAGAAAACATCATTTCCTACAAAGCCTAAGTGACATAAAAAGAACAACTATTTCATTCATGTCATTTTGCATTAAAAATAGAAAACTTCTCACCATTGTCTTTGGAAGAAGACCAACGATGGAAACCAGAATGGAAAGAGTCATATTAAGAGGGGGGATAGTGAGTAAACACTGAATCCACTCTTCACACAGAGTGGTAAAATTATTCCTTTAATGTGCATTTAGTCTTTTTTCACAAGGACCTTTAATGCTCAAAGTGCCAAAATAATAAGAGGAAAAAGCCCCTAAGATACTGTCAACTTTAGAAACCACAAACAGAAGTGAGAAAATTTGTTTCACAGACTGACTCTACTTCTTTTTAAATTAAATCAAAATAGCCACAACTTCCAGTGCCTCTAATTTTTTACGAAGTCCGCATGTCCATTAAAATTAATGATCAAAAAAATTCATGTAAACTTTGGAGTACTCACCTGACCTGCACACTTTCCATGAAGATGTATGACATTTGTGCAACAGCTTCTGCATCCACAGACATGAAGGGTTTAGCTTGGTTTTGTTGCTGGGTAAGGAGGTGTGGGGATTGTTTGTTTGTGGGTTTTAATACAGTGCCCATGCTCCCAAGGGAAGCTAAAGTATAAAGCACTAGAGAAATCCCAGAGAATTACTGAATACCACCCCAGCATGTTCCCCAGGACATCTCCTCTAACTGATGCATTTTCCTGGGACAGAAAAGATGGGGGAAAAGTTCCAGAAACCGCATGGTGAGTTGACTCTGGCTGAATGGCAGGTACCCATCCAGCCACTCTATAATTTCCTCTTTTTAGCTGGACAGGGGAGAGAAACTGTAACAAAAGGCACCCAGGTCAAGATAAGGACAGTGAGAGATCATTCACCCATTACTGTTACAGGCAAAACAGACTCAACTTGAGAAAAATTAGTTTACTGCTAATCAAATTAGGAAGTATAATAAGAAGTAAAACCAAATCTTGCAGCACCTTCCTCCACCTCTCCCTTCTTCCCAGGCTCAGCTTCACTCCCAATTTCTCTACCTCTTTTCATCCAGCAGGGAGAATGGGAGTTGTGGTGAGTTCATCTCACATTGTCTCTGCTGCTCCTTCCTCCTCAGGGGGAGGACCCCTCACACGTTTTCCCTGCTCCAGAGTGGAGTCCCTCCACAGGAAAGTGGGTCCTTCAGGAATTTCTCCAACATGAGTTCTTCCCAAGAGTTGTTTTTCATTATGTACAACCCTTCCATGAGGTGCAGTCCTTCTCCAATGAGGGCTCCTCTCTCCACAAATTCTGCCTGGACAGATTTTGCTCCAGCACAGGCTTCTCTTGGAGTCACAGCCTCCTTCAGACATTCCCTTGCTCTGGCGTGGGCTCCTCCAGGGGCTGCAGGTGGATCTCTGCACCCCTCTGGGCTGCATGGACTGCAGGGGCTCAGCCACTGCTCTGTGGGCTGTACCACAGAATCTCAGGGAAATCCCAGCTCTGGAGCAGCTCCTGCCCCTGCTTCTGCCCTGCCCTGGGTGTTTGCAGAGCTGTTCCTCCGTCATTCACACTCTTCTCTTTCGCCTGCTGTGCAGTATCTTTTACACTTTCTTAAATATGTAATCACAGAGGTGCTACCAGTGCTGCTGAAGGGCTCAGCCTTGACCAGCAGCAGGTCCATCATGGAGCTGGGGGAAGCTTCTGGCATCTTCTCATAGGAGTCACCTCTGCAGTCCACCCCATCACCATAACCTTGCCACACAAACCTAACACTCCTTTAACTTTAGTCTTTCATTACATTCTCTACAGCTTCCTAAACACACTTTAGTCCCAAATGACTACTGGCAGAATTATACCAACAGGTTGATTTAGCATAATGATAACAGTTTCTTGTGTCTGGCATGGAGATTTTATAGATGTTTGAAGAACAAAGGGATCCCTTCCAACATACACACCTCATTCTGAGCTTGCAAACTATTTAGAAAGTGAAAACTCTGAGACTTCTTTCTCCTTTACCAAAATATGAAAGGACCCTTCAGAGGATCGTGTATTCCCTCACCAGGCTGTGCACATCAACTCCAGCAACATTAGCATAGAGTTCAGGCACCACTGGCTCAGGCACCTGCAGCACTGTGTGCCCATTGCTGGTCTTCACAGCTGCTTTCAGGGAGCACAAGAGCTGTGCTGGGGAAGGTCGGTGAGCTGCACTCCACTGCCAGCAGGACTTCATGATGCAGTACCTGGAAATCATGAAATGATGAAATTATGTCTTCATGCAAAGAAATGTACCATAGACCTTCCCTGTGGATACTTTGTTCATTTCAGAGAATAGCCTATAACTTAGAGGAGAAAAATCATTCCCCAGCAGTGCTGCACCTTGCAAGGAAGCAGCGGAGCAGCAAAATGCAAGGACACTTAAGCAAACAGAAACAAGTGTCATTTTCAAGAGAAGGAAACAGAAACAAGTGTCATTTTCAAGAGAAGAACATAAAGGTTTTGGCCACAGAGGTTTTATGCAGCAGAACCCAGTAAGGAGATTGGCAGACACAAATCTCAGCTAACAGGTTACTCTCAGTATAGATCAGACTTTGAAATCTTGTGTAAAACCTCATTTTCTATGTCTAATTTCCATTTAGCTCTGCCAACCCCATGTTCAATTTTCCATAAAGTAAGTGGCTTACATGGCTTGCTGGCAGCTCGAGGGCTGCTTCATAATGTTCTGTTTCTGCAGGTATAATAAGATGTCAGAAGGTGGCACCTCAGGATATGGTGGAGCACCTGGGAGGGCAAAAGGAGCAATGGTAGAAAACTCTATGGCAGTGGTTGCAGAGAGCAGCTTCTGTGCAAGACTGCCTTCTTTCCCTACCAAAATCTGGTTTTTTCCTACCACAAGTCACAATAACAGAAGGTCTAAAAGGAATTGACGAGACTTTGCAAATTGGAAAAAACAGGGTGGTTATTTAAATGGCCCAACTTTACATTCTAAAATTTGAGATTTTGGATCTTGTTAATTTGCTGCTTCCTTATGTATATTTTTTTATTAGCATTAAATCTTCTTACCTAGTGTAATCATTTCATACAGTAGAATTCCAAAAGACCATCTGGAAGAAAAGAAAATAAAGCAATGTTGTTTGCTGGCTTAAATACACAAAAACAACTAGGCATGGCCTGCAGATAGGAGAAAGAATGAGCTGTAAAAGTGGAGCATTATGCAGAAACTAAATCTGCCTTCCTGTGAACTTCAGGACATGAAATGATACATAAAGGAGTCAGAGGTAGGTGAACTTCTAGTCCCAAAATGAAGCCATACATGTCTGCCTTGATTGTAGGGGGTTTGCTCAGGAGCCTCTCTGGTGCCTGCCACTTGACAGGCACCTTCCATGCCACTGAGCTGGCACCATATGTGTGAGCTTCGTAGGCCAGGCCCAAACCACAGAGCTTAGCAGTGAAGTTGTGATGAAGAAGGACATTCCTGGCAGCAATGTCACCATGGAACAAATTCTTTTCTTCGAGATAAGCCTGGGAAATTGGAAAAGAAAGAAAACAGGATGATTTTAAAAGCAAATTTAATTGATACAAATTTTCACTGAGTTTATGTTTGTCTTCAACACTGTGGAGTAGGGACATGTGCTCACCAACATAATGTAAGCGTATTTTAACAAAGCCTTTATTCTCAGTGCTTAGACCAAGAAGACTTAAGCCAAAACACAAACTTGTGTTGCAATCAAGCAAGAAAGAAAAAATGCAGACAACCTGAGCAGACTTACCAGAGCTGCTGCAACCTGCTGTCCAACCTCATATACCTGCCTCTCAGTGAGGTCATAGGGGACACTATCCATTGCCATTACATCCTAGACACAAAATAAGAGACCTTGGTTCAAACAAATGCCACAGCAGTAGGACAGTGGGGAATGTTTCCTTCTAATCTATCTAATCTTTTGCTCCTCCTTTTCACAATTGCTCATAAATGTAGGAGGACGTGGATGGGTGATGCCAAGGGTGTGTTGAGTAAGACAAGTACACTAGAGACAACTGGTGGGCAAATTGACATGTGGGGAAAAAATTTAATGTTAGACAGAAATTGTCAGAATGACAGTGAAGAATGACAATCCAACAGGTGAATGATAGATATAAATTAGAATGATGAGTAGAAAAGCACATTCTAAGATATGAATTTGGTACCTGATATGAGACTAACAGTCCATCTCTCCTACCACCCTGCCTGTAACAGTAAGAGAGAGAGAGATGAGAGACAACAAGGTAAGCACATAATGTTCTTCCTGTGCCATTTTATAACCCACAGATACATTCCATTTAAAAACTTCCTGAGATGGTTATGTTTTCAACATGTTCAGTAACCTTTGAAAGGTTACCTTCCATAACTGACCTCATATGAAGTGTCGGTATCCACAGCAGTCAGTGGCAAGACAGTCCATTAGTCAACGCCTCCCTTCATGAAAAATCAGCTCCATTTGTTTGTTTTGAATGTGACACATACTAGCTTTATTTCCTACCCCCTGGACCTTCTGCTGAACAGGACAGGAAGCAATCACTCTGTATTTAGAGTTTCAGATGTAGTGATACAGACTGATGAGCCAAAATTTGGCTCATTTTTCAGATGTAGACTGATGGATTTACACTGTAACATCAGAGTTTTGTTTCCGTGTCTTTTGTAACAATGAGTGATAGAATCAGAATATGCTGAGTTGGAAGGGACCCACAAGGACCATTGAGTCCAACTCCTGGCCCTGCACAGGACATCCCAATAATCCCACCCTGTCCCTGACAGTGCTGTCCAAACACTCCTGGAGCTCAGACAGCCTTGGAGCTGTGACCTTTCCCTGGAGTGCCTGTTCAGTGCCCCAGCACCCTCTGGGGGAAGAATATCTTCCTGCTATCCAATCTAAACTTCCCCTGATATTTGGGCTCTTTTTTAGATCCATTTTTAATGGACTGCATATTTTCATATTATGAGACCTCATCCCATCAGATTTTACCACTCCTCAACAATGGGCAGACATGAAGCCATCATTCACATATATGAAACTTCTTCCTGTGCATTATTTCATTTTTAACTATGCTGATTTTCATCTCTTCTTTTTATTTACAAGTCTCTCAATCTTGGAAGATCTTTCTGCAATTCCACTGGGTCTGCCCTTGGATTTACTGGTTGGAATCATTAACAAATATCCTCACACCACTGTCATTCCATTTTTAGGTTATTAATACATGGAATGAACAGCAACGTGTCCTAGATAGCTGACCTACCTTCACTGCAAGTACCAACCTTTCATTCTTATATTCTATTTCCTGTCTTTTACCAATTAGTTATCATCCCATGACCTTGCCCTGTGTTGTAACTGCTCTGCTTTCTTTAAAGCATTTGGAGTGAGATATGATTTAAAACTTTAGAAATTCAGGTGGCTGTATGAATTCATTTTAATTCCAGTGCCTGCAATGCCCTTCAATGGTCTGCCAAGTAGGACCTGAGTAGAACTTCTATGGAGCATGGAAATAGTTTGATTGATATAGAGGGACACATGGAGAGATGAAAAAATAATTTATGACTTATGGATAGATATGTACCTAAGGAATTTAAGAAGCTATTTTGTCATCACTTCTTTTGACTCACCTTCCGACACGTCCACAGAAATGTCAGCAGGTCACCGAGAGACACATCTTCTATGATCATATAAAGTGGGAGCTGGTCTACACAACATCCCACCAATTCAACCAGGTTCTCATGATGGCCAAGATTTTGATGGAATTTAATCCTTCCCAAGAAATCCTTTACTTTCTGGGGACTAGCTGGGTCTGAAAGAACAAAAAAAACAAATTAAAAACAAAACAACAACAAATGTAAGCATCAAAGAACAGGTTGACAGCTAAAACCAACATGGACAGTATCCTTTAATCCTACCTAGACATTCCTACAAGAACATCTTGGACTTCCTATACTGAACATAGCTTGTTCTTGCCCAGTACTGATGGCAATGCTCTGCCCAGCACCATGTCTGGGATACATGGGTACCAAAGTGGATCCTGACCATGGGCTTTACCTTGCAAGGCTTTCAATACCACAGTCTTCGTCTTCCCAGAGCTCCCAGTTTCCAACTGTGCTCTGTAGATGCTCCCATAGGCACCAAGTTTTATCAGCTGCAAGGTGTCTGGTAGGAGTTTCTCTCGTGGTATCTCTAATTCTTTCAGAGTCAAGGATTCAGAATTTAGCAGGCTCTCCACAGATCTCTCACTCAGCTGTATGTAGTGGTTCTCTGTTGAGCAGGGTTCCTGCTGATTCTTTCTCGTCACTAACAAAAGCAAATATATATGATGCATAAAAGCAGACAGATGAACTCTTGCAATAGATGGCAATGCTCATCCTTCCATGCTCTTTCATTTTTGCTCCACAGTGTTTCAGAAGTCAGGGCAAAGTAAGGAACTGTTATTGTATCCTACTTATCCTGGCCCTTGAAGTGGACAAAGAATTTATCTACCACTCTGTTGGATGAAAAGACAGAAATAGTCTAGAAATTCTCCCATATTTAACTACATAACCTTTTATAGATAAAACACATTTGGACTTCATTCCCATGTGCTCAAGCAATAAACATTTTCTTTTATTACCCATTTTTAATTATATCTCTTAATACAGGCTCAAGAGCTGCTTCCCTCTACATATCCAAAATTAGTTCAGAACTGTATTTTTACTTCCACACAGCCACACATGTACCAACAAACCTTTCCCTACCCCCTCATCCTGTTCTACTTAATGTTGTCTCCATAGGAAGAGGGTGACAGCAGCTTGAAATTAAATTTCTGAAATGGCAGTATAGAAAATGGATTAACAAGGTGTAATCTACATCAAAATTACTATCATTCATAATTACCCCAGTAAACCTCTCCTTGCACCAGCCTCCAGGAGCTGTTACATACACTTCACAGCTCTTGTGATGTTACCACAGCATGTTAAACAGCCTGCATGGCATGATGCTTTAGATTTTCTCAGATCCATCTATACTACAGCTTCCACTGCTGCTGCTGCAAAGTGGAGTAAATCAGTGTTCCAAATTTTTCTAATGTTGACTGGATTGCTGAATACCACTCGGGATCCTCATAAATGGTTTTGCCTAACAGCTCAAGCGATGGGGAAATGAAACTGGCTTCTGGCTGTGAAACCAATACTCTTTCCTCTGGTTGAAAAGCATTTTTTTACCTTGGGTTCCAGCTGGCGCCGATTGCGCCTGCTTTGCTCGCAGGCCACGGCAGTGCAGCCAAAGGATCACAGTGAGCACGATGACAAAAGCTCCCACCAGGAGAACTGGGACAATGATCACTTCCGTTTGATATTCACGCACAACTGTCAGCAGAGAAAGAAAATAGAAAACCAAGGAGTAAGCAGCACACTGGTTCTGTATAAGCATGTAAAACAATCCATTTTGGTAACTTTCAACCCCAAAAGTGTGTGTTCCATCCTCTGGAACAGCTGAACGCTGTTAGTGCTGCCACCTTATTTTTCAAAGGTGCTGAGTACTCAAACTCCATGAAATCACTAAGACTCCCACAACTAAGGTCACTTATTTAGATGCTTTAATATGGAGGCCAGGATTTGAAGCCATTTGAAGTCTCATCCACCAGTGAAACAGAAACAGCACTGGCAGCAGGACAGCAGGGAGATGGGACAGCTGGATATTGCTATGTCACCATGTGCAATTACAGCTCCAGCTCCTTCCAGTAAAATTACACAGAGCATTTTAAAGGAAACTAGGTGTGGTCACCTTTGGAATTTGACTGGAAGACATTGCAATTAGCAAGGCTTGTGAAGGTAACTATATTTCTCATGTCCCCAGATTTGGAGGTGGTCAAGACCATTTTTTCGGTTCCCAAAGATGGCAGAAAGTCATGAAATCAAAATCCCACAAAACTGGTCCTTTTGGAAGCTGCAGGGAATCTTTAATAACTGCTGTACACCTCATTCAAAGTAGGAATTCTCTAAAATGGCTGAAATTATGTGAGATTAATCCAGCCACAGAGGCTTCATCCCCATAAACATTTGGAAAGCTCCATCAAATCTTTCTGTGTGGGCTGCGATGCGATGAAGGAGGAGAAAGGGCTTGGCACACTTTTTAGTGAAGCTGGCCTTCCTGCAAGCATATGAAACCTTATTAAAGGAATGTGTGAAACTTACCACATAGCTTGTCATTGCTATTGCACTCCAGCAGCATCCGTGAGAATCTTTTCACATCCCCTGCCATGTTCAGTTACAAGCCAGCAGGCCTCCAATCCCCACTTCCTGCACAAAAATAAAGAATAATTTATTAGGAGAAAGGATGATGATGAAGCAACAAGTGAAGTGAATAGGAACTTTTCTACCCTTTACAATCAGTGGCTGCATGAAGCAGCACGGGGATTTGAAGGTTCAAAGAATGACACAGGACATCCACTATCACATCCTATGGATGATGCACTGCATGACCAGAGAGAATTTAGAGTTAAGCTTGTTCTACAGTGCTCTACAAGCAAATAAGGACCCCTTCTCCTAAAGGCTGGCATATGTACAAAAATCCATAGATATTAACCTAATGATATTTAAAGAACATCTAACACCCCCCCTAGCTAACACATGTTTAGATGCCAGAATGGCTCAGCATTTTATCTTCTGGTCTATTACAAGTGAACAGATCAGCAGCATGCAGAGAAAATGTCATTCTTGACTACAGTCCTTGCCACTACTCCTACTGTTGCTATACAAAGGAGAAAAAAAGAGTTGTCATTAGGGCTCTCTGGTACCAACTTCTGAGCACTGCCAAGTCTGTAGGTATTCTGAAGCACAACATCTGCAACTCTTCTGCATTTGTAGCTGAAAATCCACAGCCTGTACAAGCATGCACCTTGTTTAGTCACTGCTTCTTATAAACATTGCCAAAATTTAAGACTTAACAGCTTCTCAAACAGTATAATCTAGAACATTTTATAGGAATTGTGACTTTTATCCTGTAAGCACATACTTTGTTGTCAGCTATAAGTTTTAGGCAATTAACCTCAATGGCAAATATAGGGCATTTGATTTTATGGAATTTGGTGACGAAACATTTAACAGTTTGCTCTCATGCTTAAAATTAATGAGTGAAATTATTCTTTACCAGCTGCACAACAGAGGCAGCAGAGAAAGGAAAATGGAATATATCTGGCTTTAAGGTATCACAAAAAAGTCTCTTTCCTTTTTTTTTTTTAATTTAATTTTATTCTTAATGTGCTAGCAGATTTACCTGGTTCCAAGGTTGGCTACACCAGGAATCCAGTCAAAGGAGTAATAACACAACAATAATACCAAGCTTTTCAGGTACACCCTGAAAGCAAGCACACTGAAACAACCCACCTCAGCTCTAACACACACACACACACACACACACACACAAATACACAGCACCAATCCTGGCTTCCTTCATTCTCAGGTATACACAGACTTCAGGACCATTAGCCAGTAACCACAGTATAATCTAAGTCATGAACAGTCCAAACTTCATCTTAAAACTTGCTAATGGCTTTGTACAGGTGCTTACTAGAAATGCACACTGACATTTACACACCATGCATGCACAGGCACACAAAAGCACACACCTCAATTTGTGCTTACAGAGGGAGCAGCAAAGATCCATGGAAAAAGCTCTGACACAGCAGCCATGTCTACACTGGTCCCTGTCTGTAAAAAAGATTGCTCTCTACCCTTTATGCACATCCCAGCAGTGATGCCAGTGGGTGGCACTCATGTTTTCCAACCATACTCAGGGCAGAACCATGGGATCCAGGAATGAAAACACTGGCAGTCATTGGCACTTTATTTGCCCTGGCACTCCCATGTGCTGTAGTTGCTTATGGAGGTGTTAGCACTAGAAAAACTTGATTACAGAAGCCCACTTACACCCTATGTCTCTATCCTCTCACAATACTCAGCAAGCAGAAAAAGAAGTTTTGCTCAGTAAGGTAATTTTGAAGTGCCATTCAATGCCACTTTTCAGGCCAAGACTAAATAAAATCCTGTACTAGGCTGTTTCTGCAGCTTATTTGTCTAACAGTAACATCACTGCAGTTCTTACATTCCTATCCTCACAAGAAGAATGGTAACTTGGAAATCCACAGAACTCACGTTATACATTTAATGTTTTTTTGCAATAGGAAACACATGAAATTTATGTGGAACTAACATGTTCATGTGCATACTCAACACAGAGCAGAACTACTGACACTGCTCAGCTACTTATATTATTAGACGAAGACATTTTTCCAGTACCAAGACAGGATAAAGGAAACAAAAATATCTTAAAAAGTTCAAAATCTGTACTTCACTGGCATTCTGATTTTCCCTGCCTGTGGATTAACACTGTACCGATATCAGTGCTGTCTAGATCATGTGCACACATACACTGTGTTACTTCATTTTAGAATTTGCAATAGAGAATTTGTGCAATTTTAACTAAATGTCATCTTGTTTATTCCACTGTATTTTTTAATATTCTTTTACACAGACTGAATTCCACTCACTGGAATTCATAAAATCATAAAGGTTGGAAAAGACCCTTAAAATCATCAAGTCCAACAGTCAGCCCAGCACCACCATCACGTTCACCACTAAACCATGCCCTCATGTGCCACGTCCACATTTCCAGGCATGATGACTCCACCAACTTCACTGGGCAGTCTATCCCAATGCTTAATGACTCTCGGCAAAGAAAAATTTCCTGATCTAATATAAACATCCCCTCACACAGCTTGAGGCCGTTTCCTCTTGTCCTGTCCCTGTTCCCGGAACAAAACCCCAACCCCCCCGCCGGCCCCCCCCAGCCCGAACCGGGCAAAACCAAAAAGGTCCCCCCGATCCTCCTTTGCTCCAGGCTGAGCCCCACCAGCTCCCTCAGCTCCGTTCCCTTCTCCGGACACGCTCCAGCCCCTCCATGTCTCTCCTGTGCTGCGGCTCCCCAGGTGCCCCGGGCTCCGAGGTGTGGCCCAGCAGTGCCAGCACAGGGACAGTCCCTGCCCTGGCCCTGCTGCCACGCCATGGCTGGCACAGCCCCGGCCCATCGGCCTCCTGCCCCCGGGCACAGCCGGCTCCTGTCCAGCCTGTCCCCAGCGCCCCCAGGGCCTTTCCCAGCTTCCCAGCCCCTCTGCCCAGCCTGGAGCTGCAGGGTTTGGTGTGAGCCAAGGACAGGATCCACAACCTGACCTTGTTGAACCCCACACAACTGGCCTGGCCCATGGATCCAGCCTGGCCAGATCCCTCTGCAGAGCCTTCTGACCCTCAACCTGAACCAAAATCCTGATGTCAAAGCTAAATATACAACAAAGACCACAGTACCTAAAAATAGCAGAAGCAGCTGCTCTTAGACAATGGGAAATACAAGGCAAAACCTCAGCAGAAGTTAAACTACAGTCACCTGCACTTGCAAACTGCTCCTAGCAGACTACCTGGTGCACAGCACATGGCACAGCAGCTCCACAGCCTCCATCCTACACCAACACTGTTCCTCTGTGCACATCTGCCAACAGGATGAACACTTGGGGAAAGGTGGCATTTTGTTTCCAGCCATGTTTGCTTGCCAAGCTGTTCAGGAAGCCCAAATACTGAATGTGAATGTAGCTGAGCTGAATTAAGTGTTCATCAATGCCAAAAGAAGGGATTATCCCCTCTCTTTGCTGTCTTCTCATTGCTTGTTTTACTCTCACTTGTGCAATTTTTCACATGGTAAATTGATTCAAACCACTAACCTAGCAGGAAAAATCCACTGCTCATTTGCCATGGTGATTTTCTGCCATTTTAGTGGCTGGTTTCAGTCAGGGGTGAGTGACTAATTTATCTAAAGCTGCACTGTGAAACCACTCCCTGTGTCAGCCCAGATCCACGAGCACTGTGTGCCAGCAGAAGCCTTACTGTGATTTTTCCAGTCCTCTGTCATTCATTCTCACATGGATACCATCCCCTTAGCAATAGCAGAAGCATTCACATAATGGTAAAGCCCTAAAATAATCAATCCTCTCTGATATTTTATGGCCTTAAAGTTAATCATTAAGTTCAAATGATGTTATTTAAAGTGCCAGGACTAAGACTTAAGAAATCTGAGTGACAAACTTTGTGGTGAAGACTGAAAAGAAATAGAAATATCAAGACTTAAGATGCCTATGGAATATATGGGAACAGACAGCTTGAATACTGCCCACACAGAAACTGCCTGCTGCTTGCTCCTGCCATGTTCAGTAACTTGTCCATATTCACAGCAAATACACATTATACATAAATTTGCCCCTGAATATGTCTAATTTGTGAGCTACCAGCAGGTCCCATCATAAGTACAAACATGTAAATCCTTGTATAATGATTAGCTAAAGGTCTAAAGGAACACCTTATTAATTAAATATGACAAAAACAAAAGCTAAGATTCATCTGGATTGTCATTAGACCCTTTTAAAAGTGCTGCGAGCTGACATGGACTTAATGCAGTTATTTCTCCAGACATCCTGTCCCATGTTAAATGCACATCACTTTATTATAAAAATATTCTTACACTTGTTTTTCATGCACCAATTGTGAGGACTAGCTGTAATGTGACTACAGGCACATAAAGAACAACTGAGTAATTCAGTAACTTTAGTCCAGCACAGTGCCTGACTGATAAAAGACAAATCCATAAACATTATGTCTTCTACTCAATTTTTCGCAGTAAGTGGCAAAAACTTACTCTCCAGCTTTTCCCATTACCATTTCACTGCTGCTTTTATTATTTCCCTCCTCTTTTATTTGACCTTTGAACATGGACAACAGTCAAGGCTTTGGCAACTGCTCTGCACAAGCATGCTGTGCTGGCTGTGCAGCAGGAAGGGAGAGGAGCTACAGGGAATTGCAGGAATCCAAACAGCAAGAAACCACCAGGTGTGGGCAATTGTGGACATTGAATGGGAAAGAAGAGGAAGAAATAAAGCACACTGTAAAACAAACAGTGGAAAAGGGATTTTTTTCCCCCTGCCATGTCCAGCATTTACTAAAAGTAGCATCCAAAACAAATAAAAAAACGAGCCAGACAGGTTTCAGCCATGCATTTGTTAGACTGCATATTCTGTCTCTTCTGTCTGCAGGAGACCTTAGTGACTATTTCCAACAGCCTGGTAGACCATGTCATTTTTGCAAGGTTTGACTCCTAGGCCATGGAGTCACCTCATCTCTCACTGCAAGGCACCTGTGTGTTACTAAATAGCATCTTCACCT